CCCCCCCGGCCCTGCCCAGCGCCTTATGCGAGTCCCGGCCTGGGATCCCTCGTGGGGGGGGGTTCTCTGCACCCTCCGGTGCTGCTCTTTGTAGTCATGAAAAAGGCAGCCTCCCGCGGCTGTGATTGAAGTGCAGTGCAATGCAGGTGGGTGACACCTGTGGAGCGGTGTCCTAGGAGCCTGCTTAATGTGGGCGCTGCGTTTTGCAGGTACATTGCACTCTAGCCTTGAGGGAAAATACTTTTATTTACAAGGGATTTAAACTTCCTAGGTAGAGGAGGGGTTCAGTGCAGTAGGGGAGTGTGGGAAACCATTGGGTGCATCTACACATTCATTAATGCGCTTTTGCTGATGTGCGTTAAATTCAGTACCTCCCTCATGAGGTACTAGAAACAGGCATGATAGCTTATTTTAATGCATATTAGGCAAAGCATGTGGTTTTTTGTGACACTTTTTGTGACACTTTAATGCTCATTAAAACAAGCATTAAAGTGCACATGTAAACACACTCATGGTGGAAGAATGGTTATAGAGGTTATATTGCACTGAGACCAGATATTGTACCTGGTTATAGTGCACTGAGATGTGCCTGGGAGAGCGAGCTTCCATTGTATAAAGTAACTCTCTCTCAATATATTCATTTGCTGTGATGGGTTTCTAACACTTCCCTTGCTTACTATTAACGTACAAACCCATGTCTCCAGTGGAGGGCAACAAAGATGGGTAGAGGGCTGGGGAACATGACTTCTAAGGAGAGGCTGAGGGAACTGGGCTTGTTTAATTTGTAGAAGAGAAGACCGAGGGGGGCTTTAACAGTGGCCTTCAACTACTCATCACCTGGTTGAGAATCACTGTTAGATGCGGATACCTGGTTGTATTGCATTTCCCAGGATACGTTGGACCAGATCCTCATTGAACGCTGTTGGCCAGACCCACAGCTGGTGTCTGTTGTACATCAGCATTTCCAGAGAAATTGAACTGATAAAAGGGGTGTTTAAATCTGACTTTTCAGAAATTGAATAAGGTTGAGTTGAAGAAAGAAACTGATTTTTTGGGGGAAGAATGTGGATTCTCCATCTGTTCCCACTTAGATTTTCCTTGTACTTTAGATCACCATTCCAAACTCAGAGCAGGTCAGTAGTGATAGAAATTGTTAGCTACTTGGTGGTAGTGGGGGCTGGCCAGCCCCTATGAAATATATGGGTGGTTTTTTTATAACTTCTTCAGAAGAAAATGACAACTGGATTATCATGGAGCTTAGATAGACCTTATCTAAGATGCCTCTACTTCACGGCTGAGCTCTATTGGAGTCTGCTTCAAGGTTTGCAGTACTACTAGTCGGGCTGTATTGTCTTGATTAGCCTTGTCCATGAAACAATTTAGAACTAGGAGGATGTAGCTTCTTATATGAGCAGGTATAAAGCCTGACAGGGACTCTAAAAATCCTGCAGCATATTAGCAATGACAGAACCTGGAAACACTGGATAATAACAGGCTTTGGTTGTTACTAATAGACACTGCAGCATGGGTGGTGTCAATACAGCTGGGCATGCCTCGTGTTCGAGCATTCCTTGGAGGTGACTTAGTTGTCACGGCTATAAGGTTACAAGACTTGAACAGTGATGCAACAGTTTCATGTTACCAAAATTAAATCGGTCATTCCAACTTTAGGGACCATGACAGCTCAAGAACTATGCAGATTTGCAGAGCTGTGTGGGGAAGGTTTCTCGTATATTGCAGCTATTGGTTTTAGTCCTTTATTTACTTTATCTAAAACAATACAGGCATCTTGCTGTGGGCTGTAATAATGTATGGAGAATTAGGGTTGAAGTCTTATCTTAGGTTTGTATACAGGTTTCTCTCGCCAACTGCAGGGGTTAGGTTTCTGGAAAGTTCCCTTAGTTGGTAAAACTGTGATTGGTAAAACTAAAGGCTTATGGGAAAAATGGGGTTAGGGACTTAAATCAGCTGGTCCTGATGATCTCCACCCCAGGGTGCTGAGGGAATTAGCAGGGGTCATTGCAGGATCCCTGGCATGGCTTTATGAGCACTTGTGGTGCTCTGGTGTGGTGCCGGAGGACTAGAAAAGGGCAAATGTGGTTCCCACTTTCAAAAAAGGGAGGAAGGAGGACCCAGGGAACTATAGGCCACTTAGTCTTACCTTGATCCTGGGTAAGCTTTTTGAGAGAATTGTCCTGGAGCATGTCCATGAGGGGCCAGCAGGGGAGATTATGCTTAGGGGCAACCAACGTGGGGTCATTAGAGGCAGGTCCTGTCTAACCAACCTGGTGGCCTTCTATGACCAGGTCACAAAATCCTTAGACGCAGGGGTAGCAGTGGATGTAGTCTTTCTGGACTTTAGGAAGGCCTTCGATACTGTCTCTCAACCCATTCTCATTAAAAAAAAACTAGGGGACTGTGGTGTTGACACCTACACAGTCAAATGAGTCACTAGCTGGCTGGTGGGCTGCACCCAGAGAGTGGTGGTGGATGGGTCATTTTCGACCTGGAGGGATGTGGGCAGTGGGTCCTCAGGCCTGCACTGTTCAACATCTTCATCAGCGATTTGGACGAGGGGGTAAAAAGCACCCTGTTCAAATTGGCAGATGACACTAAGATGTGGGGGGATGTGGGCACACTAGAAGGAAGGAATAGGCTGCAATCAGACCTAGACAGGTTACAGGGGTGGGTAGATGAGAACAGGATGGGTTTCAATACTGACAAGTGCAGGGTGATGCACCTGGGGAGGAAGAACCAGCAGCATGCCTACAGGCTGGGGAACTCCCTTCTCATCAGCACAAAGGCAGAAAAGGATCTTGGGGTCATTATAGACTCCAAGATGAACATGGGC